TACAGTTAAAAGCGACATTAAAACAAACTCACACCCTTTGTGGCTTATTACAGTGGTTCGTGTAATACCAGGCAATCTGGGCGAAGACCTCTATCGGCAAACTCCCACAGTGACATGTTGTTCTCGAATAACGTCACCCGACAAACAGCGGCTACCTCGGTAGAGACGTCCTAATATCAATAAAATCTGTTCAATTACATATAATGTTTTCGTTCTGTTATCTAATATTTGGGGCGATACCGAGTACCGAACATTATTTTAAATGTTTCTCAAAATGTTAATCTTTCCGTTACTCTCAAACTACTCACATGAATCGTTAAAGGTTCACATACTCCGGACATGAAGTTATCAAGGCGTCTCTTCAACTAATGACATAAATGTAAGATATCTTTCCTCTTAAATGCCTCTGCAAAAATGTACATCACGTTTACCTACTTCGTGGAAGGTGGTAAGTTAGGCCTAGGTTGAACTTTTGGGGTCACCTATAGAGAAATATAACGTCAACGCCATAGAATGCTAGTAACCAGTCTCGATTATCCAAACAGATTCTATTGAGCGTGAAAGGCACGCCTAGATGAATGGATCACTGGAACCCATCCATGACTCGAGGGTAAGCTTGTTGTGGAATGCCAGAAATATGACAGGTCCTGGAATTCCAAATGCGGCATGGTAGTATTGGAAATCCTCGACCTCGGATATCTTGCTTACACACCAAGGTAAAATCTAATGTACGGCGTGACCTGTCAAGGCTTTCAAACTCAGTCACCCGTGACTTCACCTTGTGAAAGAAGAGATCGCGCGTCTGTATAGGTCATGAACTGACCAACAACAAAATAGTGAAACATATTAGTGTTGAAAAGTAATTCAAAATCAGAAATAGAAGAAATTGGCGCGTCTGTATGTTTCATGAACGGACCAACAACAACAAAATGGTGAGACATATTGCTGTGGAAAAGTAATTCGCAAACAGAAAAAGAAGAAATTGGCGCTTCTGTATGTTTCATGAACGGACCAACAACAAAACGGTGAGACATGTTACTGTTGAAAAGTAATTCGAAAACAGAAATAGAAGAAATGGGCGCGTCTGTATGTTTCATGAACGGACCAACAACAAAATGGTGGGACATGTTACTGTTGAAAAGTAATTCGATGAACAAAAAGTGACGTGATTATGAAATAGGGTACAACTTTGCTTTAATTTACTTATATAGCGACGTGAATGCACGTGTGTGTCTGTGGCTGAGTTTTCAAGCCCCTATTTATGCTAGTTTTATGGTTCTAGCACATTGTAATATCACACTGCGGTTAAACTCTATTAACTATCTGGACTCCGGGCTTCCAAGTCCTTGTCCTTGTTTTACAGTGATATCACGCTGCAGATAAACTCTATTAACTATTTGGACTCCGGGCTACCCAGTGCCAGTCCTTGTTTTACAGTGATGATAATGATGATTGTTGTTTAACGCCGCACTGAGCAATATTCCAGCTATATGGCGGCATTCTGTAAATAATTGGGTTTGGACCAGACAAACCAGTGATCAACAGAATGAGCATCGATCTACGCAATTGGGACGCGATTATATGTCTTAACCAAGTCAGCGACACTGACCGCCCGATCCGGTCATTTGCCTCTTACCCCATGGTTGCTGAAGACCAATTCTAACCCGGATCTTCACGGGTTCCTTGTAATATTAAAACTCGTCAGAATCTTGCAACCCTTACCGATTGTCACATTTCACTTAATCCACTTATCTCCACTTAAAACGTATGCAATTACGGCCCAAATTCCTCATCCGATTCAAATAAACATACAGTCCTATGTAGGCGTAAGAATATACTCCGAAACGTCATGTTCCTCAAGATATAAAAGACGACATAAGTTACGGATCTTCGAGGGTGATTTACGGTATTTTAAGGCCTTTTGGAAGGATGTTCCCAGGTGATCGAACAACTGACTTTCCGCTATATCCAGTACACCACAGATGCGATAAGGATTAGCATGTTCAAAATGATGGTCATGACCACAACATTGGAGTGAGTGAGTGAGTTTAGTTTTACGCCGCACTCAGCAATATCCCAGCTAATGATCGAGTCTGGACCAGACAATCCAGTGATTAACAGCATGATCATCGATCTACGCAATTGGGAACCGTGACGTGTGGCGTGTGTCAACCAAGTCAGAGAGCCTGACCATCCGATCCCGTTAATCGCCTCTTACGACGAGCATGGGTTACTGAAGATCAATATTCTAACCCGAAACACATTGGAGATTGATGATGGTGGTGATGATGATGATGATGAAGATGATGATGATGGTGACGAATGATGATGATGATGATGATGATGATGATGATGATGATGATGATCGTGATGGTGGTGTTGGTGATGGTGATGGTGTGTATATACACGTGAAATCTATGAATACATTGTCACACAATGGCTTAAAGGTGGCCGTCCAATCAGCATTGTTTCAAGTATTAATGACTGGTCACAACCAGCGGCTCGATAGACTACTGACATTGTCAATGGAAGCATGATACAGAATGAGTTCTAATGGCAAACAATACCACTTGTCTCAATGCTAAAGAAATTGTTCTGTCTGCTATTTTCAGCAGGTCAAGCAGTTAAAAGACTCGCAAAATGGATAATCAGGATACTGAGGAAATGATACAAGACTTTGTAAAATAACGTGTATATAAAGGACTGACAAAACATTAAGAGAACAATTATAATCAATCCGATCTATTGGACGGGTCAATTTGACGATTCAAAATTATTGTTTTCAAAACGCATGTCAAGTAAAAACGTCAGGATTGTACAGCTGTGTAATTCCTGAAACCGCCCAAACGAGATAACTTGTCGAATTAATTTGAAGTCGCAGTCAATCTCCTCAGGGCTGGTCACAAACAGATTGGCAGCTGAAGTGATAATTGAGCGCCGTAAGGCTTGAAACCCTCACCACTCGGAACAGATCAGTGCCATGGAGGAACGACCTGTTTTATGTGTCACGACAACACAGGGACTATTTTGATGCGTAAATGTTGACGTTAAGTTAACAATAGGCATTAAAGCGACAAAGCCTTAGCCGATACAAGTCTCTGCTAAAAGCACAGTCGATTATACGATTTTGACTATATCATTAGCGGGTGTTTATGAATCATTATCAAATACTGATAACAAGACAAATATGTGTGATGCCTCACTGTTTATGTTATTGACAGTTTATGCCTGCACATTAACCGATTGTCGCAAAGTTATTCATGTCATGCTATTCCTACGAATATTCATGAATATCATCGCCCAACTGTTTCTGTTTTCTATTTTGTTTTGATTTGATTTGATTTGTATTTGTTATTTAAGAAATACAGTTCGCTCTACCATCATGTATAGTGTAATAAAACACACTTTCGCCCTGAACTATTAAAGTTAAAGTACGAGGACGCTTGCGTCCGAGTGCTTTAACGTTAAAATAGTTCAGGGCGAAAGTGTGTTTTATTACAGTTAAAGTACGAGGACGCTTGCGTTAAAATAGTTCAGGGCGAAAGTGTGTTTTATTACACTATACATGGTGGTAGAGCGAACTGTATTTCTTTTCTAAGATGCCAAATTTAATACATTCTAAGGATAATTACGATTAATTTAAGGCAGAAAACAAACGACGGTGTCGGTGACCTAAATTAAGAATCCTGGCGCGCTTTTCTATTGATGTGTCTGCCCCCTACGTTAACCCCCTTGATGCCGAGGTTTATTTCAGGCGCACATTTTCATACTCTTTGAAAAGTGAACGTTGTGCGAGAATTGCGCTCGCGTGGTCCTGGATCTACGTACGGCTATAAAATTACACAGAAATGTAGAATATTAAATTTCCTATCCGTTGGTATAAATATAAGTGCAACTACCTCGGCGGTTTGAGAAATAGACCTTGCTAAATGTTGTCCAAATTTTGTTATGCGTTAAAAATAAGTAAATTTCTCCGCTTTTTATCGCACACCGATAAAAGCACTGTGCTACGAATTTTTTATTTTGGCATCTTTACGGAAAGTTCGAGCGAAGAAAATACAGCCTGATATCTGAACGACATAAGTGTATATGAATTGGATTTATGTGCTTATGCATAACATTATACGCTCAACATTAAAACTGACTCGCAATAAATGTCAAAAATGGATTTTCTTCTACGACGTCAAACGACGACGGAGAGGTCATACACGTATAATGATAAGGGGGCATAACTCCGTTATGCTTAACACTAGGTCAATGTAACTCAGATCACATGGAGAGTATTTGTTGTGGATACACTATACCTTTATTGTCTGATAATGTATCTTATTTTCGATTGTTCTAACCGCTAGGCATCTTAGAATTTGGGTTAATGTTTTGTTTGGTTGGTTGTTTGGGTTTTGTTTTTGTTTGTTTTTGTTTTTGTTGTGTGTTTCTTTGAAGATTTTTTGTGTGTTTCTTTTGAAGATTTTTTTCAGGTTTTGTTTTTGTTTGGGTTTTTGTTCTGTTTTCAAATTGTGTTCGTGATTGTTTTGTTCGTTTGTTAGTTTGTGTGGATTTTTTTAGGGGGGACGATTATGGTTTGTTTGGGCTTTGTTTTTGTTTTTGTTTTTTGTTCTGAAATTTGTCCACTCTCTGTCTGTACAACGTTAAAACTAGCATGTATGATCGTATTCGCCAAGACACATATTAGCACATGGACAAATACTCCAAGACGAATATAAGTCACAAATATGTGGGAAGTAATGCAAGGCTCAGACGTCTACAACGTTGATGAAACCCACGAGCACATGTATAGTGCTTACAATCTCTGAAACACATTCCCGGCGAACCGTAGGCCATATACTGATAATAGGATATGAAGATTCTGTGTATTTTAATCTAAACCTTCTTTAAAGATTATTATCACTGATAAAGGTACACTCCATCGTAAAGACCCGTGAAGGTCCGGGTTAGAATATTGATCTTCAGTAACCCATGCTTGTCGTAAGAGGCGACTAACGGGACCGGGTGGTCAGGCTCGCTGACTTGGTTGAAACATGTGATCGGTTCCCAATTGTGCAGATCGATGCTCATGCTGTTGATCATGATCCCTGGATTGTCTGGTCCAGACTTGATTATTTACAAACCGCCGCCATATAGCTGGAATATTGCTGAGTGCGGCATAAAACTAAACTCACTCACTCCATCGTAAAGGGTATGGATTTGTTATACTGACCTAAACTTGGGTGAGTGAGTGAGTTTACTTTTACAACGCTTTTCAACAATATTCCAGCAATATCACGGCGGGGGACACCTGAAATGGGCTTCACACATTGTACCCATGTGAGGAATCGAAGCCGGGTCTTGGGCGGACGAGCGAACGCTTTAACCACTAGGCTACCCAACCGTAACCCTCTGACCTACAAACAACTTGTACAGGTGATAAACTCATTTTCTAGTGAATAGTATGCACAACGCCGTTTATTCTTAAACCCTTAAGATATACAGTTTAAGAAACACCATCAATAGAATTAATTTATACTCAATGAAATATCTTAACTCAAAATAATTGACACTGATATGGCATTTGTCCCGGAAGGTTTCTCAAGTTTCGGAAATGTGTTATGTCATCTAAACTGAATAATGCATACGACCCTTTCCCCGTATTACAACGGTAAAATATTAGGTACCCACATTAACTCTGAGATAAACTCCCCACTGATAAAACGTGTAACGGTATCGCAGTTAACAGGGCACGTTGTCATTTTCCATTCAAAAGGAAAATAGTGTTTAACCTACTCACCACTTTTACGGTAGAAGACTAAAGACAAGAGCCCTTTTAACGAATACGTTGTCGATACGACCTACGTACGTCAATCGACGCACGGTGTATTTAATGTGGTGCTATCTTCACAGGTAATTGCTTGGTTGTAAAGCAATTAAACAAGCTTTCATGATGCCGTTCTGTAGTACAAGAGCTATCAATGAACGATTGATCTGATAGGTCACTGGAACATAAAACATAACTTACTGGACCACTTAGATTGGTGACAGGGAGTATACTGGCGTTATTTGAGAGTGTTCTGATGAAACAGTGTCTTTAAGTGTGATTATGTTGCCATCGAGCAGGAAGCGGACAAAGAGACAGATTGTCATGTTTCGCCGTGACAATATTACTGTTTGTTTGAACCTAATTTGTGCTGTGTCAGTCGTGATACCGATTCGCGTAGTAACGGCACATTCGGATTAATTCTGTCACGTGAAATATTTATCTGGCGACGGAATTGATTTCAGGTAACGGTGTATTTATGTACATTTGACAATGGCGTGACCGTCAACCAGGATCCATTAATGACACGGGTGTAGAACCCTGAATGGGCGAGTGTGTGTCCATTGTTTCTCCTGGTTTCTTTAATGTCAAGAGCCAAAATGTTAGTGTGTTTGTTTGTTTGTTTGTTTATTCAAGCTATGTGGCGACGGTCTGTAAATCATCGAGTTTGAACCAAACAATCTAGTGACCAGCATCATGACCATCGATCTACGCAAAAGGGGATCAGATAACATGTGTCAACCAAGACAGCGAGCCTGACCACCCAATCCTGTTAGTCCCCATTATACGACAAGCTTGGATTGCTGAAGACCACTTCTAAGCTTTCTGATCTTTACAGGTCTCTTGTAATATTAAAGCACAGATTCATCAGAATCTTGCAACCTTTACCGATTGTCACATCTCACTTAATCCATCAACTCCACTTAAAGCTTATGCAATTACCGCCAGAATTCTTGATCCGACTCTTGTCGACTATCACAGACACATCATTGATTGCCTTACATAAATAAATATTCCTATGTTCTCCCTATGATTCGGCACAACAGACTTTTAGAAAATATGTAAACTTTACAAAATGAATTAAGTACACTTACCGTGTTGCTTTTAGTCACTGGCGCTTTGTCGTGAAGTCACAAAATTATCTCCCGAAGATTTCCAATACTCTGTTTATGGATACAAACTTCAACTTGCTTTACAGAAACTTGTTCGCACAGTCCCCAACGGCAAAATCAGCGTCTACAAAAACCTAAGACATTGCTGCCAAGTACCAACTAAATGGTCAGTTCGATGTTCATCCAAAGGCGATCCACAACACAATGGCTCCCTGTGACTCCGTGACGCTGGGTAGGGGCGATGACAGCAGATACCCAGGGGACGTGGTCTTCGAGTGGTGGTCTGCCGACTAGCACTGACTGTTAGTGCCAATGTTCGCACTATTGTGGGCGCGAGTCCATAGACCAGGTGCTATCGATTCCTTAAGCATCTCGCTACCAATAGAAGCACGCCGAACTGTTAGTCTCTAATTCAGCCGGCTGGGGCTTCGCTGATCACACTTTGGTTTGATGTTATTTGTTTTGGGTGTGTAATTACGGCTTGTAGAGATAATGAATTAGAAACAACCTGTTCACATTTACAAACGACTTGTATGTACGCCTCCAGAAATGAACATTAGACGCTTTGCAGATAATGAGAAGACGTGTCAATCCGGTACTTTGTTTCATCATTAGTTGGGTGTTCTAATGAATGTGGAAATGTATCTTTATATACAGTCGATCCTTGAAGTTGCGGGTTTTTTATTTTGTCCTTAAACGAAAAACTTCCGAACATCTTAATCTCGTCAGTTACCTACCTACCTACATTCCAGTGAAGATCCGAGTTAATAATGATCTTCAGTAACCCATGCTTGTCGTAAGAGGTGACCTGCCTGACGCCTCCCATGCGACGGTTGCCTGAACACAATCGAGTCTTGACCAGATGATCAAGTGATGGGCCAGACAATCCAGTGACACTATATAAAGTTTACTGCTATTATTAAATGAGGATTTGCTTGTCAAATGTCTTAATAGCGGTAAAAATCGTTTGATTATTTGAACTCCATGTCATGATGCAAAAGAATGAAGTTTGAGCGAAGGGAAATTTATGGCCCATGGCTTCATAGTTTCAAATTTTGAAACGTACCCAAGAAACCAACATGTTGATATATCCTTGACCGAGACCAGGAAGAGTGCGGAGAATTTCTGGAGAAATGGGTTTTCAGAAATGTAAAGGGACTTATTAATTAATTTCCTCAAATTTGTGTAAAAGTCAATTCCGGAAATAACGCATTGCCACATAAAAAGTCGCAATGCAAAGGACACCTCATAATCAGACAGAGGAATTGATCAATATTGTTTTACGCCACATTAACCCTATATTAAATTAAAACCGTATTAAACGAACATGCTAATCTGGCAGCAGAGCAGATCACTTAGTCATCAGTCGACGCTTAAGCATTTCGATCGACTTATCCATCCTTCAACGGAGTGATAGAAGTAACAAAGTTATGTAACACGTCAGTAGCATATCAAGGGAAATCATCCATTGTCCTATGGGATCGTCACAGGATTACACGGATACAAACTGAATTACATTGCAACAAATGTTCTTCAGACCATAATTTCGCGGTATAATCCAGCACGTGAACTGTTATGCAATACGTGATCTTTTGATCTGGTTTCAGATTGAAGAAAAAAAGCGTGTCAAAGAATTCTTGATAATTAACGACGTAAAACTTATGAAAGCGCAAGCAAGATTCATCGATACGTATGGTACTGCCTCACGGGCGCGATTGCGTCCACCATTGTTGTCGGCGACCGGACCGTTAGGTTACAGCCTATTAACATACAATGGAATCCAAGAAGGGACATCGTCGCATCGTTCTGAGTTCGATCCCTTGGTATTTCAGTCCTGGCCAAACATCGAAAAATATTATTCAAAGCGCGACAATGCGACATACCGACAAATAGCCTAAATGCGGCGTTGTCACATTGTCGCACTTTGGTTAATGATGCCACGTTTTGCTTGTTTTCGTGAGGGTGACAACGCCACAATGCGACAACGCCTCTCCTAGGATTCCATATCGTACTGCTTCGACTATGATTCCCAAGGTTCTACCAACTCCACATGTGCTGTTTGTATCTGGAAGGAAAATATTACTAGCCTACGATCAGTAACAAGCAAGAGCATTTTGGTTTAACTATTGTTAAACCGAACGCCTATGTACCGTTTGAAAGATGCGACAAACGGGATCGGGCGGTCAGGCCCGTTGACATCGATGCCAATCACTGGATTATCTAGTCGTGATACAGACAGCAGTACAAAAGATGGATAAGTGCCGAGAACGGCGTAAAACAACAACCAAATGATTAACCGTTAACACACATACAGTTCTTTTGGCCCAGGTATTGAACCTAGTTCTTATTAATAAAAACGTACTGGGCAAATACTCTCAAATATATATATATATATATATATACCAGACAATCCAGTGATCAACAGCATGAGCATCGATCTGCGCAATTGGAAACCGATGACATGTGTCAGCCAAGCCAGCGAGCCTGACCACCCGATCCCGTTAGTCGCCTCTTACGACAAGCATGGGTTACTGAAGGTTCATTCCAACCCGGACCTTCACGGGTCTATATATGGTGAAGTTAAGCAGTGAACAGTTGTAGATATATAAAGAAATCCACAAAATATTAACACAACATGAATATCCCTGCTACCCTTCGGGGTCAGATTACAGTTACAGAACATATATATTGTTAGACTACATATATAGTCAGTCCCAAATATTTGCCGAAACAGATTCCGTAGGCAAATCAGTGATGAAGGTACTGCGAAAGGATCTCTAAACTATCGATAATGACACCTGGTGTCCTGCACGTTAGTAGCACCACCCTCCAGCAGACAAAACATATACTCATGTTCATGATTAATGGCATCCCACCGATACACGCTTCGTGGTATAGGGATGATTATGATTATGGGGATGGTTATTAATAAGAGACAGCATATCAAATTCCATACTTATCCCCGGAAAAAAGGGATTAAACTACAGATTTGTTCCGTAGCCTGATCATTTTAGGCCTCTTGCTTCGAGATTGGAACGCGTTGCTAGGGACGAATTCTATGCTGGTATCTGCACAGGGAACAAGCAAAGTGACGCTGAATGTTTGCCGAAAGCCAAGCCACGTGATGAAAATCAAAGGGACATAATCGGATTGAACCTGTTATATCAACAACCGTTACGGCAAATAAATACGTATTTCTTTTAAAATGTATTTATGTAATTAGCGGAGATTTTCATTTAATTAGACCAATCTTAAAGTTGAAATATTGATTGAGGTTTACATCAACGTTTCAAAGTGATAATAATTGGTATTTTGTCCGCAGTCCAATAGACAATCCATAGTGTAGCTGTATTAAAATAGGCCGTGGCCTCATATTGTTGTCGGCGGCCGGGCTAGTTTAAAACCAGATAATATTTCACTTCGTCTTTACCAACTCAACATGTGCTGTTTATATAGTTTCAATCAGTATTTATAATTCGGAAGTCAGGTTGATTGTGAAGCATTTTTAGAGAGACAGTCAACTGTCTTACTGTATCATAATATCATAAAATGCGTGGCCTCGCATTTTCGTCAACTGCCGGACCGGATGAAAAGAGGGCCTGATAACAGTTGATATACTCAACTCGTTTCTTGATCAAGGTGGGGAAAACACACCAAAAAATGATTTTGTTAAACGCCGCACTCAGTAATATTCCTGCTAAATGATGGCGGTCTGATCATCAAGTCTCGGCCAGGCAAACCAGTGATCAACAGCATGAGCATCAATCAACGCAAGTGGGATATGATGGCATGTGTCAACCAAGTCAGCAAGCCTGACCACCCGATCCCGTTAGTCGTCTCTTACGCCAAGCACGGGTTACTGAAGACCACATTTTATTAACCCATACAAAATCATGCCATACTCAGCAAAGTTCCAGCTACGTGACGGTGGTATGTTCAACGTAGACAGAAGCAGGGTCGGCAATAATTCAGCTTTATGAATTTGGTCTGTAAATAATCGAAAGTGGGTCTGACAATCCCGTTTTACCATTACAAGCATCGATCTCCTCAAGTGTATGTTACAGAGCACTCGGAGTTGCAGGTCTTGGACGTTTGAGACCTTAGTGAAATCCATGAACAGGGGTATTGGTGCTAACAAACTTCGAATCATAATCAGGACGAATGTAGGATTCGAACCCACGATCATCGGTTTCCAAGGAACACACATATGTGTAAAGCAAATTATTCAGATAAACATTCTTTCGAAACTTTAAACTACGCATCTGTTCTCTTCCAAGAGAGCTCGTGGATTCTGTAGCTCAAAACCTTCCATGATGTATTTTTCAGTTCCTTTGATTTTGTTTCTCGCCCAAATTCCTCAAAACCATGCCAACCGTTAATTTAGTTCATTGACACATTTTCTACGGATCATGCCGTTATCGTTTCCCCTATACACAATGTTATCTAACCAGTTTCTAGATCAATATCAGATGTTCTATGATGCGGATGGGTAAATGCCCTCCTAAGAAGGTTCAGTTGAGTGGTTGGAGAGTCCCCAATGAGGAATGTTTTCCGAAGACGAAGGAGATCGATTCTTCAAGTAGGTGGACCAAGGGAAGGGCTCTCAGATGTATCCTGTTGGTAAGCACTCGTTTCATGATAAACATTGCCTGGTGTTAGTTTTACAAAGCCTGCACAGACAGGCTAAATGATTTTTTAGGACTGGGCTCCAAGTGATTACACGGATGTTGTGCTAGGACAACGATTGACCCCTGGGCTCCTGCCATATTTGTACTGTACCGCTCCTAGAAACCATGAAAGGTGTTCTTCAAGAACGCTAGGTTGGTTCTTGCTACTCTTTGACGATTTGTCTTCCTAGATGATTCAATAGGAATGGTGGTACGGGTTTTCAGTGAATAAAAACGACACTTTACTGACTAATCGCTTATTTGCTTATACAGTTCTTAGTTTAATGGATGTCTGGTTCATGCTTACTTGAATAATTTGTCATTAATCGTTTTAATACAGATATCGATGTAATATCGTCTAGGTGATGTCATTTCACATCTAGCACAAAAATACTAAAGGGAGGCAAGGTAATCAGAGATCCGAAACACTACCACTGCATGCAGAAAATTTTATATAACCCGTATTTTTTAAAAGAGGCGAGAGAGACCGAATAACAGGTTCGAGATATTGGTGCATTCGAGATAATAGGTTGTCAATTTGACGTCCATTATATTTGTTAAATGAAAGGGACAAAACCATTTCCACGTACATAAGCAGCACCATACACCGAGGTTGCACGGCTTGGAGAAATAAGAACGACATTGATTCAAGGGGGACCACTCTCATTTGCAACACGAAGCCCAAGATCCTAAAGACAGCGGCAGTGAATGCTGGGATGATCAAAGCTGTGACCTCTTTCAAATTCGAATATTTCATCTCCAACCTCTATGGTAACACGATGTGTACATATACTCCCCATCAAAAGTTTAAACTCACTTAAATCACTCACTATATGTTATGCATATATGTTTGGTTACATCGAAGATGAATTTCTCCGCTAACTTTGGCGAACCAACTGCAAACTTTATGCAGATGATTTGCACGAGGATCATGCATTAAATTGCTAAAAAGCATGTGCAAATATCGTGCATGTGAACAGCTGTGTTGTGGTGTAACATTTTGTTAAAAAATCGCCAACTTTCACTCAGTTTCATCATTTTGTTAATCCATGATCTTCAACGTTACGAATTTGTTTTATAATACATCACTTCATGTGTAAACAGTACCTTTAAACAGTATGGAAAATTTTGCAAGATCTAGTTTAGAAGAGTTGACTTAAGTAAGTGGCTACATTTACACTAGTGAGTCTAAAGTTTTGATGGGGAGTATATAATGCAAAGTGGGTAGCGTGGGCACTCTCTCGATTTTAAGCATCTGCTCACTGTCAGATACTCGGGACCGACAGGAAGTATTCTCAGTTATTACATACCACTTTTTGAGATGCGTGCATATTGACTGTTGTCGTGATGCATCACCGGAGTTTCTTAAAAACTAGGAGGTTTCATCGGAAGCGCATAAGCCGTCGGGAGGCAACGCAGACGTTGTGCAACGTTGCATAGTGTTCCCGACGTTCTCTTTCAAGTCAGCTGATCAGCAAAACTACTCCCGTCCGGACTTAATGTGACTTTACCAAATGTGGCATTCAACTGTATGTTTAGCCATTGTGAAATAATTACAAATGTCTCGCATTATGGATTTGCTTGAAATATAAATGGTGGGCGAGCTGGCTATGGCGAAAGGCTCCAGCCGGGATTGAGCCCACCTGTGACCGGCTGTAAAAAACCTTGGAGTTAACCCTTTCAGTGTTGTCACAACCCCTAGTGTACAGCACACAACCCTGTGCACTTAAAAGAACCAACCAATCCGTTTGTATATGACCAGATGGTGGTCACATGAATACATGCAAACACCTTGTTGTGGGTACAGCAACGTGCAGTGAACTTGGACAAAGTCCTGTGACTATGTGTCCCAGTCCACACAGCTGTGAATCGGTACCTTGTAAGAATGAGAAAGCCGCAATAACTCGATGCGCCTTGTGGCAGCAAGAGTTGTATGATCCGCAGGGAGCTGAGATTGATGTCCAATGATCGAGGGAAAAAATGCCAGAACCTTTAGCATGCACTAGTGCGTGGATATGTGTGCTACATAAATATCAAATAATAATATTAATGGTAAATAAAAAAATAATAAGTTTGTAAATGAGAGAGTTCACTTGGAAAATGACTGTCAACTTTGGCCAAATCATTAAACGGTATATCTTTTCAGATTTTCAGGTCATCCCTGAAAAATCTTATATCATAATATGCGGATGTCTCTCCAGTTGTGCACATTTCCCAAACATGCGTAAAAGATACCAGCGACAAATTATTTGTTCTCGTGCAGGATGTGATTCATTATCTGTGTGTTGATATGTGAGCACAATTTTGTATTTACTAGACTGCATTTGGGAGGATGGCAGCTATAATAATGAGTAAGTTTTAACGCCGTTTTGGACAATGTTTAGTCATATCACGGCATGGTAATTTCATGGATGTTCATGATAAACCGGGACTTAAACCAACAATCATAGGTTTCGCGTGCAGGGAGAATTCTGGCGCGTTAGACAACTCTGACAACCTTGCCCTTAATGATAGTAGTGGCGGTTGGGTACTCTATGGTTAACGCGTTCGCTCGTAACGCCGAAGACCCGGGTTCGAATCCCCACATGGGTACAATGTGTGAAGCCCATTTCTGGTGTCTCCCGCCGTGATGTTGCTGGAATATTGCTAAAAGCGGCGTACAACCAAACTCAGTCAGTCAGTCGAATATTGCTAAAAGCGGCCAAAAAACCAAACTCACTCATTCACTAATGATAGTATTGAAATATTGAGACATAATAATGTTCTTGGACCGCTGTTGCTCAAGACCAGAGTAAAACGTTAGAACCTTACATTTAGAAGCTCTTGTTATATAGTAAGGTATATTAATATCGTAAGTGCTATTGGTTATCAATTTGCCATATTCGATAGGGATAAGGTCCACTGGTACTAATTATAATTATGCATGACGTCATGACCGGATCCAGTATCCGTCTTATCACCTTCATCATCGGTAAGAAAGCACAGAAATCGAAATTCGTCGTCTTGTTTATCCAAACATAACAATAACCGCCGGGGTAAACGAACTGTAGACTGTCTGGTTTGTATGTCGATGGTAACCACCAGTTATTGGTGGGGTCAGGATTGTAAGCGTCATCACAACACGTGAAAGGACATTTACCTGAGGCGCCAATAACACCACGGCCTTGACCTCTGTTTCCGAGACTGTGCCAGGAGCTGTGGAAGACATCTCAAACAATGGCGCTGCCATTTCAATACGTGCAGCATGATTTAGTGCCAATAAATGGCAAATATATTATAATTGGTTAGTGAAGGTCTTTGATGGTCAGGGAAGGATCAAATAACAGTCTTCTGAAAGCATTTTATTTCTGTGAAGAACAGTTCAAATAGCTAGTACACCCAGTGTACTCTGCCAAATATTTGTCCAATCCAAGCCTTTTACTGGTCACTGTAGGACCGATCATTGTATATGGGTTTGGGGACAATTTGGAGACAATGAGTTTATCGAAAAAGAAAATTGTCGCTGAAATTGTTTGAAAAAAGTATTCATGCCTCAGACTAAAAACAATGAATTTCTTGTAAGACTCATTGTTGTGTTGTGTGTTTTATTTTATTTTATTATTTTGATTAGGAATATATTTAGTGTGTATAACACACGTACAGTGCAGACAATTATTCATCACTGTTTTATCTCAAGCCTAACAATTGTATTTAACATGGTCGTTTTGCCTCCATTCCGAGTATAATGGCACAGACATGACGCCTAAACTTATTAACGATTTTTGCAAAAATAATTTGTTTGATTTGTGTTTTGGCAACTGGAGCTGAACAAATATCTTGTCACCGAGATAACCTGAGGAACTATTGGACGAATGGAAAGATGAAGTTATCACTCTTGTCATACAGTCTTGTGGGAGTTTGTTAATCGGTTTTGTGTGGTTTTCAAATTATGAATCAGATGACTGAGTTACGCTTGTCACTAATATTTCTAGTCTAAGTAGGTAAATCAATGGAAGGGGACTGGCTATTTGAATATAACTGAACGGAGTATGGGATATTCCAATTTAAGATGATACTATTTGGGAACTAAGTTGTATGGTTGTATATGGATTTAGGATGTAGTTATTCCATTCACATTCACAACGCGTTACGAACATGATCAGGTTATATTCAAAGTGCACAGTGAAACGCCTAAATGTGTTGCTATACATGTCAGTAATAAAAAAACGAAGCGGATTCAAATGAGTTTGACTTTTCGTGGTAAATGACATAATTATGTCGCAGATTTTAAAAAATATTTCTTTGGAAGAAAAAAACATAGACGCATTGTTGTGTGGTGTACTTTATTTCATTATATTTTTGTTTAATTAGACTGATTTAATTTCAGCGGTCATCTGACGTCCAACGACTAATCCAGATCTCAGTCAGATATCGCAGTTACACTGTTAAACTATTTATCTCATCATTCAGGTTATATAGTACCAATAGCAGTGACACTTTTTATTGAACATTCACTAATTTTAGGAAACCATTAAACCACTTGGTCGTAAAGTATTATAATGCTTCATAACATGGAGATTGTAATTGTCTGGTTTCCAACCGATCAAGATCAATTGTAACTTGCAATACGTCCTTAAGTCGACAAATACAAACCGGTTTCTCTCCGAATTCAATTTTGGTTGAGGAGTGCAAAATAGTTCCGCTTCTAAGATCAAGGTTTTACAGAGAAGAAACCCTAAACTGGCTTGTGAGAAAATCAATTTCAGTTGATATTAGGAGTCAGAGAATGTTGATTATCAATACTTTTAAATTAAAGTGAAGTCGTTTACAATCTCACAGAAAAAACTGAACTATGGAACTGATGCGTTCGATTGCTTCAAACCAGTGAATAAAATAAAGTAATTAAAATGTTCATGTGTGTTATGTTAGTCTCATTAAGAAACTCATGTTATGTTTAACGATTTACCTTATTAGCTGACACAGAAAAAAGCATGCAATTAAAGATCCCTTAACTCCCGTGCTACTCATCACGATGTTTTACCACGCTATTTTAAGACAAACGTACGACCTATGACTAATTACTGATTATCTGTTGGGAGGAAATTTAACGACTTAGTTTCGAGATTCATAATCTGCCAATCCGATTTGCGACTAAATTTTTTAGTCTTTTTTTCCCAATCATGAGCGAAAAACAAATACATTGCAACACTCATGGAAAATATCAGCCGAAACAATAGCTACTAAACTTGGCGATAATTTACCTCTTGAATAAATGAAAAAGGATTTTCTCGGTATACATGGCGCAGTACTGTTGCGTACAACGCTTCTTCGGCGATTCAAGATCCGACACGAAAAACAAGCTGACCATTCATAGCATACCGAAGGACGATCATCTTGAACAATGGATAGTACAGATGCGTCAAGATGTTGTTTCATCGTTAAAGGTGCTTATTTTTTTGCACAAAATTCAAACAAAACGTTGGGGTGAAAATAAGTACATGTTACGGTGCTACCCGTGAAGATCCAGGTTAGTCTTCAGCATACCCATGCTTGTCGTAAGAGACGACTAACGGGGTCGGGTGTTCAGGCTCGCTGACTTGGATGACACGTCATCGTATCCCCATTGTGTGGATCGATGATCATGCTGTAACATATGTTATATTTGGGATTACACTTTCTTTGTAAAATACAGATTCTAGTACTTTTGTTGAGTTGAGTCCCATCCATGATTCGAACCCACACCCTCAGAGTCAGGCACCTAATCGCCAGCACACAAAGTCAGACGCCTAAACCGGTCAGCCACCGCGGCTTCCACAAAAATGGAAGTCGGACAGCTGGTAGTCTAGACTGCGGACTTTGTGTACCCCTCTGATAAGTGTTAATTGGCACGGCTCCCAAGGCCAAAAGCTATGAAATACACAATACCATTTAGAAAGTGGTCAAACTTTCTTTGTAAAGTACAGATTCTAGTACGGGACTCAACCCAACAAAAGTAAGAGAATCTGTACTTTACAAAGAAAGTGTAATCCCAAATATAACATATGTTACATTTGAGCACTTTCTAAATGGCATTGTGTATTTCATTGATGATCATGCTGTTATTACTTGAATATTTATAGACCACCACCACATAGCTTGAATATTGCTGTGTGCGCCGTTAAACAAGCAAGCAAACAATCTCCATCAGCTGACCGAGCAGTTAGATAGGATTTTTCTGTTATTTCCTTGTGTAAAACCCCGACAACCAGCTCTAATTATCTATACATCACGTTGGAAACGCTACCTTGTTGGTTTGTTGTTGTTCAACACGCGCATGCCAGGATGCCTCATATTCAAGGCTAAATAAAAAACTACAAAAATATGAATCCAAACTCCAAGTGCCAAAACCAGGTATTTAGGGGCGTATTCTAGTTTTCTAGTTTGTTACATCCACTTTGATGGGACTTATTGGTACTGCACCAAAAGCCATTGAAAGCCGTATCTGCTCTCTTTATGCCGAGTCCATCCCTGATAAAGAAATAACTAAGGAAACTGGTGTTTCAGATCCGCTTGATGTTGGAGATAATACATGGCATTTAAGGGTTGACTCCTATACAAAATTTACTTACAATGGGCGGGCGGCGAAACCTAAAAGATTGCAAGGTAACGTATACATGTCAACAGGGCCATCAGATAGGGGCTCGAGGCTGTATTTTTGAAAAGTTTAACAGTCCAGAAAAGGCCATGCTTGTGCAATGGAGCCTACATGACCTTATGGGTCCAAAGAATGTAAGAATTTATGGATGCCAACTTCTTTATTATGAGGAGCACGATTTCCAGAGTACATTCTTGCTCCTTCATCTGGTGAATGATGAAGTACCTGTAAATCAACAACAGTAATAACAAACAATGGTGGGTACTCAACAAGGAAAGCCAGTAGTTAATTGGCGCTGGATGCTGAATGGTAATGGCAATTAACAAATAGAAGCCAAGAATTAACCCAGGCATAAATGGTCCTGTTGGGTGATCAAGCACTGATAGCTAATGGGCAATGGAGGGGACTATTAGCACTGAATGGAGTTCGTGACGACATTAAACCCAGCACAGAATAAACACGTTGACATCCATACATTTTCACCTTTTATGTGTATCACTTCTAAATGACGTTCAAATATATTAATACATGTAAATATATTAAACTATGTACAGCATATATCCGTGTTTGAAGAAAACAGTTTACAATAGGAATATCAATATGAAAGAGTAAGAACAGTGGGAGGAAGGAGAGAAGGGACAAGTTTAAGAGAGAAAAGCTAATGACATATTTAGAAAAACGAAACAAACATAAGACGTTTCAAATCACTGAGACCACTTTTGGAGAGAGTATGGATCTTTTGCTATAAACCTACTTAACGTTTACATAGCTATGCTCTAACGCTTTTTATAGCTGGCCAAAATATGGTCGACACATGTTATTGTAGCCCATTTGCGTAGAACGGTGTTCATGTTGTTGATCACCGGATAGTCTGGCCCAGACTCGACAATGCTACAGACGGCCGTCATATAGCTGGAATATTGCTACGTGTGGCGTTAAACAACAAAATGTAAGTTTGACAAAGCAACGTGTACATGAAGTCATTCAGAAGAGATACACATCATGGGGAAAATGTAGGAATGTCAACTTCTTCACATTGTTACTCCGTCATCAGGTGAATAAAAGATACGATGAAGATAGGTATGTGAGTAATAAGAAATGGTGTACAACTAACAACAGAAACCAGTCTTCAATTGGTGTGAAACACAGGAGTAAAGTAGTACTGACAGATATTACGACAAGGGAATAATTAGCACTGGTTGATGATCGTGATAAGCACTGATATATCATCTGATAATAGTGATGGAAATATGGAAACCACCTGGACTAATAGTCAAGATAAAAGCTGGACAACATAAAGAGAATAATGAACAATTTCCTTCACCATGTATTGGGTTCAAGGATCTTTATGAATAAATCATGTTTGCAATTAATCAAATATTTATGCATTAATATCGCTTTACTATGTCTATTTGCCAATTCAAAATGACTTTGCCAGTAGCTTTCAAGACTGGTTTCGATTATTATAATGATGGGCGTGACGAGGTTAGTTGATTGTAAAAGTTTAATAGATACAAAAATGATCTCAAAATTCAGCCATTCATTAGTTTTTCTAAATTGTTCATGTACCGGCACATACTTATATGGTAGCCGGCAGCTTACCGGGTTATTTCCCCAGAATGAAAACATGGATACCAGTGTTTAAACATACAGAATAACGTAGCTGAGACAAGCGAGGATGCAGGACGAATGGATAACCAACGAGATAATTTTAGATAGCCATCTATATAAAGTAGGACTTTTGGATTTTATGAAAGATTTTGTGATTACATGCATATGCTTAACAATGTGCTTCAAGTTTATTAAATAGTTTTGTAAATGTCTAATCACAACTGATTAAATACACAAATACGTAACGCGCCAGATACTCATATTTTCGGTAATTGATATTAAATAATTACCTGATATGATACCATAGACAAACTGAGTATTCTCATTCAACATAACTTTTAAGTGGCATTTCGAAACTGATATGTCGAAGAAGACGTTTTAAGGATTGCAATGAATTATTCAATCTACAAAACCTTTTCTTTTTCAACGTCATGATTACAAGATTCGCGAAGTTCCAATATCCTTTTAGATGCTGGGCTCTTGGAATGAGGTTGTGGTTCGCCCAATCTTCAATACCAATTCTCTCAAAGCTGACAAGATCTTTGATTGTGTTGACATGGCTGTTCACGATGTCGATGATCCTGTGTTTTGCTTAAGCGGTAGCCGTAAGAGCTGACGTAGTTTTTACGAACAGCGAGCCTCGTTTTAGATTTTTAATGGCCGCCGATCGAGAAAAGAGTCTATGATCAAAGACCTATGTCAGTATAAACGACAACCAGACACGTCAAACTTCGGGGAGTCAATAATACCGTGATCCTGACCTTCCTTTACGAGTGTTATGGCATGGTTTTGATGCCAGAGTCTAACACAGAATGGCGCCACTACGTCAACACCAACGGTATGCTTGTAATATCAAGATAATGAGAAATGTATGAATTATAGTCATGCGAGGTCCGTCATGGTTCCATAGACACCACAAGTCAACAGACTGAACGCATGTCGTGTTCATGAAATATATCTGTAGTAAGCGACGCATTGACTGATCGTTCTCTGTATAGGACAGGATGGTGAGGGCCCTTTTTGACCTTAGGATTAGGAAATGTACATAAGAACGGCCAAAACATTTCAAGTATTCATAAGAAGTATCTACAAGAATCAATATTCCCTTGTACGATTCCTGCAAGAGCAAAGACATATGTTTTTGACTCACTATCAAATATTAGCTAGGTAAACTTTGTGCGTATCCTGTCACAAACACACGGAAGTACAAGGCAACGCCGGAAAAAAACACTGGAACTTGTGATACAATTTAAAATACTGAATATTTGTCACCCATTATCATACTCATCATCATTTCATTGTTTGGCTAGTTGCTGTTGTGTTTCTTCTTCTTCTTCTTCTTCTTCTTCTTCTTCTTCTTCTTCTTCTTCTTCTTTCGGGGAAGATGGGGTAGCCTAGTACTTAAAGCATTTGCTCGTCACGCTGAAGACCCGGGTTTGATTCCCCACACGGGTGCAATGTGTGAAGCCCATTTCCGGTGTCCCCCGCCCTGATATTGCTTGTATATTGCTAAAATCGGCGTAACACACTCACTCACCCTTTGGGAGAAGGGATACTGGTGCATTTAGAAGCTATGACGGACTCCGAAATCGGAAGAGCAAGTTTTAACTCTCTTGAGAAAAAACAAATACTACCGTCTGTTTGACAAATATATGGCAAGTCAATTTTCGCTCTTAAATTGCGCATTTATTAAAATATGTCTCTACTGGAATATGTTATGTGCAAACTAAATCGATGACTTCTGACGCGACACACGTCCTTCCACTCACAGTCATTTAATGTAAGTACGGAGGACTGAGCTTAATGTAATTTAGAATAGTTGCCAATACAGCAAAATAATCAAAATGGTATTTTTAATACACTGATGTTCGCTCCGAGTCGTTCGACGATCTCGCAAGTCATTAAACACCTTCCTTTCTATCCAAGAAAAGACACGTCACGATATGGCTGAAATATTGCCGATGTCACGATACATTTTAACTCACTCACTCACTCATAAAATGTTTAAGGACTGTTTTATCACAGGCGTCCTTAAAACACTTTGATCCTGAGATAGCAAGATGTGTGTTCTATGTCTGGCAATTCACTTTCTGAATCACCACCTTATCCAAAGTTTCGAAAAGAGGCGCTAAGGTGAAATAAGGTTGATGTAAATCTTTCAGCGTCTCTTGGTAAGATGTGGTCAGGGTATTTCGAAAACTTACATCATATGCTATTGTCTGACTCTTTAAACCATCTCATACTTAGAATATTACCAATAAGTAAAGTAGATGGGTTTTTACATTTGGTAATAATGATCAACATTGTTAGAATTTCTAGACATCCCGACTGAAACCGTTAACTTGAGTAAATACGTCCTGTTGTTTCCATGGTGACCTCGGATGGTGGAAATAGACTATTTTCCATCAAATCCATCAAAACATGTGGGCCAGAATCAGAATCATTTTAGTAGATGACAGTAGGAGGCAAAGAATAGCAATAATCAATGCTTTTGATTAAAGTAAAGTTTGTCTTACATCGCTCATTGAAACCGAGCCAGTTGGATGGATTCGTTTCTACAGCTGAAGAATTGATTCCATGTATACAGAATACACTCAACAAACAAATGTACTCAACCTACGCGTGAAATGTTTGCTATCAACACAACTAAGTACTAACAAGCTGTGTGTATTCACTCCGCACACAGACAGGTTTAACGGTTTTGCTTCCATAAATACTAATTACACATAAGGATGATTTATTTGAAATAGAGCAGTGGGAATTGTCACTGTATTAGCATAAATGAAGTGAAAGTAGAACCTGCCTCCATTGAAGTGGACTATAATGAACAACAGCCTTCTAGATCTAGATCTGGGTGTTTTGGTTCGTTTGTGTGGGGTTGTACTTTGTTTTTTACTTTAACGCTATACAATATTACCGCTATGGAACGGCGATCTGTAAATGGATTGCGTTTGGATCAGACAATCCAGTGATTGACATCATGAACATCGATCTACGTAACAGGGATACGATGACACTGTCAACCAAGTCAGCGTGCCTGACCACCCAGTCCTGTAAGTCTCCCTAACGACGTGGCTGGGTTGCTGACTACCATTTCAAATCACAGATTAATCAATCATTTGAACATTGAAGAACTGTGACAATGAAATACCATGGCAAGATAATTTAGCAATTCTATAATATGACATTGCTAACATTAACATGTCATCATGTTGGCTGATAACAGCATGCACAGTGGGGAGTGGATGGCAAATGGGTTCGCTGAGTATATACCACTGCTGGCTTGTTAATGCAGGCATTGAAGATGTGGATGAAGTCACGCAACATTTCAAACATATTTTACTCACCTGACACCAAACTCCAAATCTAGGGATGACATTTATTAAAGTAAAACCTAAAAAAGTAATTGTTATAAAAATCAATAAAGCGTCAAAGCCCCCACATGTTCCTTCAGATCAAACAACTCTTGTCCAAGAATCACAGGTCATTATTAAGCCTGCAATGAAAAGGCCAGTCTTGCATTACGAGTGGTATCTCTGTAGGATGTAACGTGTAGACATTCGGCGTTGTTGTGGAAGGGATAGTGCTTGAGATGAAAAGAAATCTGACAATTAGAAATTTAAGTCATCATTTCAATCACGCAACCTTTGATAGCGACGGCGTTTCATCATGGGGCAGGTTCCTTCGAATGAAACTTAACACTGACCACCAGTGGACGTTTCAATTACATGTGCTAAATCAAAGCGCTATTTCAAAATCTAATCCTTCATGGCACCTAGTCAGTTCAAAGGATTTGTATGTATCAGATTTTTTAATACGTTAATGTCAAACGAAACTGAAAAACATGTAACTTTACGTCTCGAAGTCTGGATTAAATGCTTACCGACCATCTGCTCTTCTGAGGTCGGGGGCGTAGAACGGGCTGATATTATTTTTAGAAGCGTAACTTGAAAAACAAAAGGTGAGAGAAAAGTAATTTGTGACCGGTTTTCACTCAAAGAAATCAAATTGTTTGCTGAACATGTGCTGTTGACAGCCGCTTAGTTTTAAAGTACACTAACCGTTTTGCCAACATCTGGTGCCATTACTGTTTGATAGAGATTCATATAGGAATGCTTGTGTTTTAGTCGGAATTGTACAACGGAGTCCGCCTTTAATAAAGAATTCCACGATTACACACACTCACGTACATACATACATACATACATACATACATACACACACACACATACATACATACACACACACACACACACACACACACATACATACATACATACATACATACATACATACATACATA